TATAAACTTCGTGAAAAAGAAAAAAAGCACTCAGTATGCAGTCTTTATAAATCTAAGATAAGCATTTTCATCCAGGATTCTTGCTCAAGAAAGCATACCCCTAGTCTCAAGCAGCTCTATCCTGGTGCATTTCCTTTTGTGTCTACCTTAACAGCAGCCTCACTGACTCAGAGCTCCATTTTTAACTGCCTTGTCTCAGTGCCGACCACAAGCCAGCATCTCAAATCTATTTGGTACATTTTTAATATCCCCTGCAGCAGCACCCAGCCATGCTAAGCTGTCTGCTTGGTCTGTCCAAGTTATTTCCCAGGATATCAATTATTATTCTTGACAGTGTTCTGGTTACAAAACTGTTCAGGTTTGAGTAGTCTGTTCCAGCCCTACTTCCCATAAGTCCTATATGCTTAGTGTGCAATTCGCAAACATGAGGTTTCTCAAGAGCACAAATGTTTTATAGCAGATTTTTTCATAGTTCCCAATATGTCTTGATGATTTCCTCAATCAGCTTATATACCCAAAATCTAGGTTCCTTATCTCTGTTTGTAGCCCAGAATCAAATCACTGGAGTCATGTATGTATCTTTCTTCCTCTCTTCTCTATATTCAATTATTCCAAACATTCTATCAATTTTCCTGATGCATTATCTCACATCTTTTTCACTACCATCTGCCATAACTGAAAGCTTCAGCACCTTTCATCTGGATGAATTTAACAGCCTTCAGGGCGATCATCCATCTTCCAGGCCCACCCCATTACAAACCAAACTCCACTATACTGCAAGAACTATCTTTCTAAAAATACAAATCTGATTGTGCTATTTCTCTACTCAAAAACCTTCACCACGACTCTACTGTGCATTTCAAGGCCCCAAACCACTGCCCCACTTTTATCTCATACTGAACCCTCCAATCACTTTCACTCTACAGAGGTAAACAGAGGTAAACCACACAAACTGTTGAATGCATTGCTTGTAGACACTCAATAAATATTAGTTATTATTGTCACAGATTAACTGGTACTATAGTCGGTTCTAACAATGTCATCTCCCTACCCTTGATTTTAAGCATCTTAAGTTCCTCCTCTTTTTATTTTTAAAGACAAGGGTCAAATCTCAGTTTTGCCATTTACTAGCAAGTTATTTAGCTTTCTGAGCTTCCATCAAATTAGAATAACATGCATGACATGCCGTTGCCGAAAAGACTAAACAACATAGCATATGTAGAATGCCTAGAAGAGACATCAACAAATGTTAGCGTTCTTAAAAAGTGTCCACTTAAAGAATGAACACAGAACTAATTGCTTGTCTTCTTTCTCCTACAACTAGACAGGTACAGAGTAGCACCCAAAGAAACTAGTTCCACTACAAACTCTATTCCTCTGAGTTAAACACTTAATTCTAAAAAAAAATAAGATTTAGGAGAATCTTTTTCTATATGACTAATCAAAAAAAGTTACTGATATGGAACTGTAACAGATAATTTATGCTGATTAATGTTAATTATGTTATTAAAATAATATGGAACATTTGCCTAGTCCCAATGCAGAACTAGTAGTTATTGAGTTAGTTCTAATAGTTATAAATAAATACATGCAAAAATATAAAGAACTTTCAATATCATAATAAACACCATAAAAAACAGGCCTACCAGCATTCATGTACTAAAAACGTAGAGATAGTAAAAGGTTCTTTATATATTCACTCAAAGAATTGTCCTGATTTGATTTATACCACAGATTTCACATTATAGCATTACAAGAGTTTCTTTAAAATGAGAAAGTAAAGAAAAGAGAAAAAAATGAGGAAAGGGAAGGGAGGAAAAATGGTAAGAAAAAAATTCCAAGTTGGTCTTTTCTCATTTTACTTTGCTTTTTTTTCTCTCTCCCACTGGTTTTACCTAATTGTTTTTTCCTATTCCATGGTAACAAAAAAAAAAAAAAAATCACAGAGGAGGGGGAAAGAACAGTCTTATCAATAAATTGTGCTGGGACAACCTGACCAATTGCAAAAGAATGAAGTTGGACACCCCTACTTTACATCACATACAAAAATTAACTCAAAATGGATCAGGGTCCCAAATGTAAAAACTAAAAACTATAAAACTCTTAGAACAAAACACAGGCATTAATCTTTGTGACCCTGAATTGAATAATGGCTTCTTAGATATGCCACCAAAAGCTCAAGCAACCAAAGAAAACAGATAAATTGGACTTTATCAAAATGAAAAGTTCAGCCAGGCACAGTGGCTCATGCCTATAATCCCAGCACTCTGGGAGACCGAGGTGGGAGGATCGCTTGAGCTCAGGAGTTTGAGACCAGCCTAAGCAAGAGTGAGACCCCATCGCTACTAAAAATAGTAAAAATTAGCCAGGTGTGGTGGTGCACACCTGTAGTCCCAGCTACTCAGGAGGCTGAGGCAAGAGGATCGCTTGAACCCAAGAGTTTGAGATTGCTGTGAGCTAGGCTGACACCACACACGGCACTGTAGCCCAGGTGACAGAGTGAGATGTCTCCAAAAAAAAAAGAAACAAAAAGTTCTTGTGCTTCAAAGGACATCAATAAGAAAGTAAAAAGACAAGCCACAGGATGGGAGAATATATTTACAAATCACATATCTGATAAGGATCTAGTATTAAGAACATATAAAGAACTCTTACAAATCAACAATAAAAAGACAAATAACCCAATTAAAAAATGGACAAAGGATCTGAATAAACATTTCTCCAAAGAAGATACACAAATGTTCAACAAGCAAATGAAAAGATGCTCAAAATCGTTAGTCATTAGTGAAACACAAATCAAAATCCCGATGAGATACCATTTCATACCCATTAGAATGGCTATAATCAAAAAGAAAAAACAATAGCAAGTGTCACAAGTGTCAACAAGGATGTGGAAAAAACCGCAGCACCGATACACTGTTGATGGGAATGTAAAATGGTGCAGCCACTTTAGAAAACACTTTGGCAGTTAAAAAGTTAAACTGAGTTAGTTCCTGCATGTTCTCACTTATAAGTAGGAGCTAAACTATGGGTACTCATGGTCATACACAATGGAATAATAGACATTGGAGACTCCAAAGGGGGAGGCTGAAAGAGGGATGAGGGATGAAAAATTACCTACTGGGTACAATATACACTACTCGGGTGATGAGTACACTAAAAGCCCTGACCTGACCACTATACAATATGTCCATATAACAAAACTACACTTGTACTAACTAAACATACTGAAATTTTTTAAAAAATTAACATAAAATTTTATGACCCCATATGACCCCAGCAATTTCATTCCTAGTTACATATCCAAGAGAAATGAAAACATATGCCCATGTAAAAATTTGTGTGCAGATATTCACAGCAGCATTATTCATAAGAGCCAAGAAGTGGAAACAACCCAGAAGTCCGTCAACTGAGGAATGCATTAACAAAATGTGGTATATCACACAATGGAATGTCATTTGGCTATAAAAAAGGAATCACGTACTTATATATGCTACAACATGGACGAACCCTGAAAACATGTCAAGTGAAAGAAGCAAAATACAAAAGGCCACATATTGTATGATTCCACATATATGAAATCCCCATAATAGGAAAATCCATAGAGACAGAAAATAGATTAGTTGTTGCCAGACGCAGGAAGGGGAATATGGGAAAGCTACTGCTATCAGGTTCAAGGTTTCTTTCGGGGTTTTGTAAATGTTTTGGAATTAGATAGTGGTGATGGTTGCATAACTTTGTGAATATACTAAAAACCACTAAATTGCACACTTTAAAAGAGTGAATTTTATGGCACAACTATAACTCAAAGAACAAAAGAATCTATCAACACAACTAAGAAATGAAGCAGGTGTTGATTTTCTGGCCCAACATTTTCTGTATGCTTACTATGTTCCAGACCTATACTGCTTGCTAGGAACCCAAAGATGAGTAAAACAAAGTCACTCTATTCTCTTCAGGATCCTTCTCCTTAGCCTACAGATATATTTCTCAAGAGTGGAGCAGCTTCGAAAATGCAAAAATAGCAAGTGTAAGCCATACAAAATCTGAGAGAACACAGATATTTACATTATAAACCCCTTCAATTACCTAGAAGGTATATTTATGTTTCACTAAATATGGGGGAGGGGAGAGATAAGCTTCAAATATTAGATGTTAAATAACTTGTTCCCCAATGCTGACAATCTCATTTTTCAAAATTATTAAACAGTTTCATTTCATTCACTTGAATGTTTTTTACAAATGATATTTTTGATAAATCTTTCTTGTTCATAACATTTTGAATATATTACTTCTTCAGTGACTACTGGATTCTCTATTTTTGACATTCAAAAACCTCATGATAAACACAAATATTCCAAAAGAAAGTGCTTAACACTGCATTTCATTACCAAATGAAAACTTTTTTTTGTAATAAGAACAAGTAACAAGACAGTTCTCTAAAAAATCAAATGCTTTGGGCTCGAATCCTAAATTTTATGAATCACAAAATCTGATTTCCTGATAGCTATCCTTCTACAAAAGAACAGCTAACAAAAATCAAAGTAATATTTTGACAGAAAATTAGGTTGAATAGTACTTTAAACAGTGCAAAAAAGGCACGTTCTACTTAATCCAGGACATTAAATATCTAATTTTTTTTTTTTAAGACACAGGGTCTCACTCTATCACCCAGGCTAGAGTGCAGACTGGGCAGTGACATGATCATAGCTAACTGCAACCTGGAACTCCTGGGCTCAACTGATCCTCCTGCCTCAGTTTCCTGAATAGCTGGGCAAGCACCACCAAACCTGGCTAATTTTTAAATTTTTTGTAGATACGACATCTCACTATGTTGCCCAGGCTGGTACAGAACTCTTGGCCTCAAGCGATACTCCCACCTCAACCTCCCAAAGTGCTGGGATCACAAGCGCAAACCACAGTGCCTGGCTATTTCTGATTCTTTTAATACATTAGTTATATTAAATTCCCAGAAGGCAAAACTAAAATCTAATTATTACCTTATCTTTGGCCTCAGGAAGTGTGATTTCTCTAGGTTCTAAAAATGGTATTTCCCGAAAAGGTGGAGCACATCTGACTACATCTGGTACATAGTGTGTCTGAAACAATGGCGGCATTGAGTATCTTCGTTCACTTGATAAAGGCACTATCTGGTTAATTAGAGTTGGCTCTTGGTGGGGTGAATGGAAACGCTGTCGTTTACTGTCAAGAGGAAGGTTTTTTTCATCACTTAATCTCCTGAAAACAAGCAATATACCTTAGTGATTAAAGATACAACTTTCTGATAACAAACAGAAAACAATTAAGAATACATAAATATCATTAACAGACAATGAAAATATTATGACTCTTTCAGTAAGGCCTCATTATTAGCTCTATACAAATCTTTAAAATAATCATTTTCAGCACAATGCCTTTTAACACCTTAGAAAAAATGAGTAGTAACAATGCATACAGAAAAAAACCACACACATATATTGGGGTTAGTTTCCTGCATTTGAATTACCCCAATGTTTCATCTCAGCAGTGAAAACTTTGTAGGAAAATTTCTACTTACAGAATTACTAAGAATAAAAGATCCAAACTGTAACATAAGGAAGATAAGATTAAGTGAGCAGAGTGCTACATATAAAAAGGGCTCTCTGAATATACCTATGTTCTGGCTCATCAGTAGAAAAGACCAAATTAAGGGACACTTACTTTTTTGGGGTTGTTTATTTTGGTTTTTGTTTTGTTTTTTTCTGAGACAGGGTCTTGCTCTGTCACCTACGCTAGAGTGCAGTGGCATGATTATAGCTCACAGCAGCCTCCACCTCTTGGGCTCAAGCGATCCTCCTGCTTCAGCCTCCCAAGTAGCTGGGACTACAGGCACACATCAACATGCCTGGCTATTTTATTTTTGTTGTAGAGATGGGGGTCTCGATATGTTGCCCAAGCTGGTCTTGAACTCCTGGCCTCACACAACCCTCCCACCTCAGCCTCCCAAAGTGCTGGGACAACAGGCGTGAGCCACCATGCTGGGCCTGAGACACTTACTTTTTAAAAAGCTATAAAGACACTAGGCAACTAAGGAAATCTGAAAATGAATTCCATTTCAGAGTATAATATTATATTAACATAAAATTTCTTTGGCACAATCAATGTATTTTGGTTATCTAGGAGAATACCGTTTTTAAGAGGAATAAACTCATATGCTTTGGGGTAAAGTAAAATGATTTCAACAACTTTCTTCTGTTTGGTTCAGGTAAAAAAAAGTGTGAGGGTAAGAAGAGAAAGAGGCAGAGAGAATCAAATGTAACTAAACTTTAATGGATGAATCTAGGCAAAAGGCAAACAGGTGTTCACTGTATTATTCTTTAAGTTTTTCTCGAAATTTGAAAATTTTCAAAATAAACAGTCAAGGAAAAAATAAAGAGTAAATATTTGTTGGGAAAAAAGATACTTCACTGATACAATAAGTTGTTCATTTATACCCCAGAAAATGGTCTAATTCCTTTTAAGCCCTAAAATTCTATGGGTCATAGCCACCTGAAGGTTTTCATTATTATAAACATTGCTTTGGGACTGTGCCAATTCCTCTCTCCTTAACAGATCCATAAAATTAACTGAAACTCCTACTCATAAGTGTACACTGTTAAATGCATAAAAATATACTTAATATTTTTAAATATAAAAGTAATTTAAGCTATACATGCTGAGTATCTTCTGAGAATGCCAATTTTAATTTTTAAAGTCCTTAGAACAAGGCCCACTAAGAAGATAGTGATTAATAATTCTTAAGTGTTGTCTTTATTTTTTTGTTTGCTTGTTTTACAGCAACTTGCTCTCTGATAGTGTTTTTATTTAAACAAAAAAGTTATGAAATCTTTATATAGGTCTTTAAGTAATAGCAATATCTTGCAAACATTACCAAATGTTATTTTAACAATCATCTCTTCAGTTCTATTATAATTATTTTGTGATAAATGATTTTCTTTTAATCAAATAGGTTAAAATTAATTGGCTCCTGACTTGACTATAGAAAGCTTTATGTCACATACAAATTTTCATTATGATAATATTTGTTATCTGGGAACTTTACCTTCAGATAAATCAAAAGAAAAGTATATAGTAAAATTTACTAGAAAGAAATGTTATGAGCTGAACTGAGGCTCTTAGAAATTCAAATGTTCAAGTCCTAAGCCCCAGTACCTTAGAATGTGACTGTATTTGGAGGAAGGGCTTTTTAAAACATAATTCGGTTAAACTGAGGTCCTTAGGACAAGCCCTAATCCAATATGACTGGTATCCTTAGAAGAGGAGATTTGGATATAGAAAACACAGTGGAACAACCACACGAGGACACAGAGAGAGGGCAGCCATCTACAAACCAATGAGAAAGGCCTCAGAAGACAACAACCCTGCTGACACCTTGATCTTAGATTTCTAGATCCCAGAATTGTGAAAAAATAAATTTCTGTTGTTTAAGCCACTCAGTCTGTGGTACTTTGTTATAGCAATCCCAGCAAATGAATACAGAAGGCCATCTGATTTAGTTAAAAATCTCAATTGACACGCCTGTAATCCTAGCACTCTGGGAGGCCGAGGCGGGTGGATCGCTCAAGGTCAGGAGTTCGAGACCAGCCTGAGCAAGAGCAAGACCCCGTCTGATCTGGACAACTAAAAAAACATATATAGAAAAAATTAGCCGGGCATGGTGATGCATGCCTGTAGTCCCAGCTGCTCGGGAGGCTGAAGCAGAAGGATCGCTTGAGCCCAGGAGTTTGAGGTTGCTGTGAGCTAGGCTGACGCCACAGCACTCTAGCCCAGGGAAGAGAGTGAGATTCTGTCTCAAAAAAAAAAAAAAAAATCTTAATTGAAAAGTAGTTTTCTGAAAAAATATAGCTTCATTCCATCTAAAACTTATAATAATGGCAGGAATAAATCAACAAAAGAGCCCCTATAATTTTTAAAACACATAAAAATTTTTAAATTCTGTGACTGATCGCACAGGTCTCAGAAAACAAATTTCAGGACATAGTGCCCATTCATTTTAATACAAGGTATGTTGTTACACCGTTCCAGAAATGCAAAATTTTCTTCTCAAATAATTGAGAAGTACTTACTTCCTTCCTCGAAATAATGGAGAAGCTGAGGTCTGTATTGGACTGACATTTCCATATGTCAGCTGCTGTAATGACACAGCTCTAGACAAACTATTAAAAACAAAGAAAGGACAGTGGTAATATACTATTAATATCTATTAAATACCATTTTCCTTAAAAACAAAAACCAATCTCTGAAAAACTTAATACTTCACTGATGAAAAGAAAATAAGAAGTGATGACATTTTCTCTACCTTCAAATGCTTCATGTAAGAAGGGTTTATGTCAAATAGAAAACTAAATTTACCAGTGATATGGGCCAAAATATCACCATACTTACTCTGCATTCTGAAAGTTGAACTGCGCATCTATAAGCTGCTGGTGTGAATAAAGAGCTGGCGATAGGGTGAAGAAGTTATTATGTTGTTGATGATCTGGAGCAAAGGGTGGGCGACCCAAAATTGAGTTTGGGAACATGCTCTTGCTCACTGAAAGTGAGCATGTATTCTTCTACCTAGGATAATTTTAAAGAAAATACTAAATTATTATAGCTTAAAGATACCAAACTCTTTGATAACTCATGTATACAATTTAAAACAATTAGTTACCACGTTACAAATTTCATTTGCAAAGTTATTTTTTAAAGTTTAAATAGCTCTCTTAAGTTCCACTATAGGTAGCAAAAAAGAAAACTTACTAACGGTGAATTCTAAATCTAAACTAACCACATTATTCGAATAGCCAAATATATGCACATTCCTAATTTTCTGATGAATTTACCCTAGTATCATAAAAACAAATCTTTTAGAAATCAAGTTATTACCACGTACTCTGATAATAAAAAAGAAACCATTGAAGAGAGATTTAATGAAATCCCAGAGATTCTTACATTTATTCTCAATCTAATTTATACAAAGATATAAACCACTATATTACAACCTGATTGCTAGAATTTGGATCTTTCTGATCTAATTAAACAAGGTAAGGAATGTATGTTGCCTAACAATTTATAAAATTCTGAGATTTTCCTCAAAGTCTACATAATTTATATAAAAGATTTCTAATAAAATCAGGCTTTGTTCCACAGGAAGGGGGAAAAAACTATACAAAAGCAATCAGAACCCTTCATTGACCCAGGTAGGAGACTAGATGTTTATTCTTTGCAATGACTGATACAGAGAGGCTATAGTCTTGCAAAGGATAGGGTAAGGTAAAAAACTGAAAACAAGTATTAAGTGAAGTCCACAAAGTAAAAACAGAACCCCCAGGCCGGGCACGGTGGCTCACGCCTGTATTCCTAGCTCTCTGGGAGGCCGAGGTGGGCGGGTTGTTTGAGCTCAGGAGTTAGAGACCAGCCTGAGCAAGAGTGAGACCCCGTCTCTACCAAAAATAGAAAGAAATTAATTGGACAGCTAAAAATATATAGAAAAAATTAGCCGGGCATGGTGGCGCGTGCCTGTAGTCCCAGCTACTCGGGAGGCTGAGGCAGTAGGATCGCTTGAGCCCAGGAGTTTGAGGTTGCTGTGAGCTAGGCTGACGCCACGGCACTCTAGCCCGGGCAACAGAGCAAGACAAAAAAAAAAAAAAAAAAAATTAGAACCCCCAGCTCACTTTCTTAAAGTGAGCAATTAGAAAACTCTTTTATGTAAAAAAAAGAAAAAGAGAGATCAAACTATATAATGTGGTAACACAAACTATATAATGTGGTAACAAGAGAACTATAACTAAAAAAAAATAAAAGAGTAACTATATATTATAGTAACAAGAGAACTTATAACACAGTTTAACAGTTGAGAGCCCACAAAGGAAAAGTCAAGCTAGCCACCTGATCAGCCCACAAGGAAGTCTACTAGTTGACAGGCCCCATCCACATACTTAGAGCTTCCAATTAGACTTCTAGTACCTCTCACTTAAAATAGACATCCAGCTGGGTGTGATGTTTCACACCTGTAATCCCACATTTTGGGAGGCCAGGAGTTCAAGACCAGCTTGGGCTTGACTTGGCCCGGTGGCTCATGCCTGTAATCCTAGCACTCTGGGAGGCTGAGGCAAGAGGATCACTTGAGCTCAGGAGTTCAAGAACAGCCTTAGCAAGAGGAGACCTTTCTCTACTTAAAAAACAAAAACAAAAAACAAAAAAAAGACCAGCCTAGGCAACATAGCAAGACATCATCTCTGCAAATAATTAGCTGAGCCACAGTGGCGCACACCATAGTCCTAGCTATGTGGGAGGCTGGGGTGGGGGAATCGCCCTAGCCCAAGAGTTCCAGGCTGCAGTAAGCTATGACTGTGCCATTGCACTCCACCCTGGGCAACAGAGCAAGACTATGTCTCCAAAATATGAATTAATTAAATTAAATTAAATAGGCATCCATGGATCACTAGAAGAAAAAAAAATCTAGGAATAAACAGAAACAATGCCAGGAACAAATGAACACTTACACACACACACACACACAAAATCTCTGATTAATGAAAAGACATTGCATATATAAAGCAAGGATATGCTATTTAAAAAGAAAGGGCTCTTGGAAATTATAAAATTGAAAGCAGTACTATCCAGCAGAAAGTTAAAAGGTAACTCTGAGGAAAATTATTAGAATGAACAAAAAGGAAAAGTTAGTGAGGCAGAAAAGAGGCAGGACAACAGCAGGGAAAATAAAAGAGAATCAAACTACATGGTCCAACATCCAACATTATAACAGAAGATTCAGGAAGAACAGAGAAAAGACAGAGGACATTACCAAATAAAACAAGAAAATGTCCAGGACTAAAAGACACAATCCCCAGACGGAAAGGACCTAATGAATACTAAGCACAGTAAAAAAAAGATACATATCTAGGCATATTACATTAAAATTTCAGAATATCAGGAAAAAGTTGATAAAATATTCCAGAGGGGAAAAACATTATAAACAAAAGGCTAGAAATCAAAATAGCACCTCTCAATAGCACACGACATGGACAAATATCTTCAAAGCTCTGAGGAAAATGCTCTCAAGCTATAATTCTATAACTAGCTATATTATCAATGCAAGGTAGAATAAAAACATTTTTAGACATGTATGATACTTAAAAAGAAAACCTGAGATCTAAAAAAAGGGAGATCTACCCAGGCGTGGTGGCTCATGCCTATAATCCTAGCACTTTGGGAGACAGAGCTGGGTGGATTGCTTGAGGCTAGGAGCTGGAGACCAACCTGAGCAACACAGCAAGACCCCATCTCTAGAAAAAAATAGAAAAATTAGCCTGGCCTGTTGGCACACATCTGTAGTCCCAGCTACCAGGAGGCTAAGGCAAGAGGATGGCTTGAGCCCAGGAGTTGGAGGCTGCAGGAAGCTATGGTAATGCCACTGCACTCTAGCCTGGGCAACAGAGGGGGAGGAGAGGGGCAGAGAAGGGGAAGGAGGGAGGGTGGAAGGGATCCAATGTAGGGCAAAAACAAACTAAATCCCCCAAGATGATAGGGAGGGGAAGTTAACAACTCAAATTAGAATAGGAGGATAGAGGGCTTCAAGAAAATAGCCAAGAAAAAAAATTAACTGGTAGATTACTTGATATATTTGACCACAGAGAGAGGTTCTGCTAACAGAGCAGAAATCATTATAGAAATGCAGAAAAGCAGCTAGTTAAAAACAGATTACTTTTTACATGGGTGAATGTTGGGGGGAAAAGAAAAAAAAATAAATTTTTAAAAAAACCAAATTACTAAACCACAGAAAAAACACTCAAAATCAATCCTATCATATCCACTCACCTATAATACCTGACTTGTTCAGAGGAAATGGACAAACATCTTGAACTAAGCAGCAGCATTCCAGGGAATCCTTTATTAAAAGTACATTCAATAATCTTGGATTGCCAGATTCAAGACTAGCAATCAACACCTTGCTCTACCCTGTGCCCAGGTTCACACTTTCTTGGCTTTCTTTACTCTGCTTCCCCTACCTAACTTCCCACAAAACATAATTCCTACTTCACATGATTTATGAGAAAATGACACTGACTACAATTCATTGTAACAAATTTTGCTCGACATTTCATTTTGTTGGAATAGATACTATAAATCTAATCAATAGAAGGAATTTATATTCAGAAAAACCAGAAAAATGTTCTATTTTCAGTTTTGTTTAAATCAGTTCATAGTTAAAAGTCTAGAGACACTTTTTATTTATAGCCATAAATCATACGCTCTGCTTTTCCTCTGGAACCAAATATGGTCCTATACATATACATTCAGATTTGAAGACCCAAAATGACATAACAGCCCAGGCCTCACCTTGTTTCTATACCATTACAAGGTCAAATCCAAACTAAGTCAAAAGATGTCTTGTGGCCCAGAACTACTCTATGAAGTTAATAACCAATTTAACCCAGGCTTAAAAGTTTAGAATTATTCCATAGCCAAAAGTTTACTCTAGGGCAAATATCTAGTTTAGCCTATTTCAAATTCCCAGATAAGCATCAAAGTTTCTGGAGTCCCTCCAAAACAAAATATCTGTCAGGCTCTCTTTACAGAGGAGAATCTTGGCCCTCTAGTCAGGCTTTAACCAAGCCAGCCTTCCAGTGGGGAGAATCATTCCTACGGAATTTAATCAATGAATAGCATTCATTCGATGCTCACCAACATAGATAATCCTGAATGATCGACCATCTAGAGATGATAAAGTAAATGAAAAGCCCATGAATTTCAGTCCCTTTTCTAATACATTTTCAACATTGATTTGGATAAAAATAAAAATGACACCAAAACAATAATCTATCATAAACAATATAAGGAATCATTTTTTAAACAGAATATAGAGTTACACAGAATAAAATCCAGTAAAACTATTACTATACTAGAATTAAGGGGACCCCCACAAAATCTGAAGTCTTTGTGTTCTTTATATTCTGAATGAAAGACTTCTTCCCTAAATAGAGATGAGCTATACAAAAACTACTTCAAATTAACTGTGGTAGCAGGTGATAAATTTTATGACAGATTAATAAAATCCAGAAATTGGCAGCATCATATTTTCCTTACCTCAAAAGTTACCAGTTTCTCAATCTATACTCAACTATAAAACAGCATAATCAAAGTAAATTCTGAAGTGTTTAAAACCGTTGTATTGGTTGGTACCTTAAGGAAGAACCTTAAAGATTGCTTCCTGACTAAATGGGACCCAATGGGAAATTATACAGGTTTATTGATAAATAACCATATATGAGACAAGGTAGTAACAGAGTACTTCACAAAGTAATTCCCAGTGATACAGTATTTGGGCCTGTAATTTGGAACCTGGAATGTCTGTCCTCAACTTGACCTCACCTCCAACAAACTAGAGAATAATCAAGGTTATACAATTCCTTCATAAGGACTCCTCGGAAAGCAGAATCTACCTAGTATAAAAACCAGAACTGTACTGGTTAAACCAAGTTACTTGTCCACTTTGTCCAAATACCTTTCATCTCCTAAACCCACTTCTTTTCTCCACAATACAAATAGTCCAATTCCTAAATCCTGCTCACCCATTGTCAAAACCACCTTCAGTTTTTGAACAATGTTCCTTTTTCTTAAGAATTCCATCCAAGTGTTTAAAGAAAAAGAATTTAGTAACATAGTTCCAAATGGCCTGTTTCACATGGAACCTACGTGTTACAGGACATTTCCAGACATAATTGTGGCTATTCACACCAACAAAGTAATGTTACTATTATTGGCCATTAATCAGTACAAATTAAGAGCCTTGGGGCTGTCAAATAGTACACATTAAAAGTCTCGTGGTACTGTACCATACAATATGATGGTATTTACAAAAGTAGTATGTCATCTGCAACATAAAAACACAGATTTAGTGACCAGTTATGATCTCTTTCTTCACAAATCATACACTGCACATCGTTAACAAGTTGCTAATTTAGCTTGAGTATTACGGCTTCCCTGTTTCTTCTCTGTTCACCCTATTGGTAAATAACTATTTTAAACAAAGAGCTGAAAAAGATAAAACAAGACAAGGAATTTAGTTGTGAGACACATAAACCTCTCGTGTTCATACCTAGAGAAATGAAGATCCCACCTACAAAGGCTGAACAGGAAAAGGGAACAGAGCTATCAGACAGTCTTAACCTCTGCTTTTTCCCATAAAGTGAAAAATGGACGCAACTTCACGCCATTTAATTAAAGGTCTTAAAGATAAAAGCCTCTTTAAGTTGTGAATTAATCCAGATATTTACCTTAGTTCTTCACCACCCTTTGAAACACCATGCAGGAGTCCCAAGACAATCTTCCTCTTTCGGTCCTGAATTGAGGAAGCAGAAGGGGGGCGGGGGACGGGGGAGAAGGATGCGAGGAAGACAAAACGAGTGAGGAAAGCAAGCGATCCTAAGATTCTTCAAAAAGTACAGCAGCCTGGGGGCCGCCCGAAGTCTGGGATATCTAAGAGAAATTGCAGGAACCGCCCACGTAAAACAAAACACTACAGTTGCAGAAAGTTTCCCGCGCCCCGCCCCCGACTTGGGCCTACACTGGTGCGTCCCTCTCCTAAACCCCCTAAACTTTGCAGGTATCCTTGGGGAAGGGCTAAGCAGGGCCTACCAGCACTGCCAGCCCAGGAGCTCCAAGGCCCGAGCGGCGACAGCCAGGCGTGCTCGGTCGTAGCTTTCTCCCGAGCCAAAGGAGGTAGTGGTGACCCGCAGGATGGCCAGGCCAACCTCCCGCTCCGGCTTTCGATCTAAACCCCGGGCGCGGCTGCCAGGGGAGGAGCAACACAAGAAGAGGCAGAGACTGCAAGGGTGTGGAAGGTTGGGGGCGGTGGCAAAAAAGCGGAAGACTAAAAAGTCGCCGAGAAAGCGGCGTAGTAAGCCCTGTCAGAGACACCCGGAAGATCGACGTGACCCGGATGAGAATACCGGGAGCGAGAGGTCACACTTCCGGCAGCCACCTCGCCCCGTCCTGCGTGCGCTTTACTCAATTGCGCAGGCGCAGGATTACCCGGGTTGGCCAGAGTTGGTCTCTCAGCGGCTGTCAGGGCAAATCGGGAGGACAAGGACTGACCTAAGACGAGAGGAGCTTGCCATCAGCGGAGGGCCGGCGACGGAGGGCTGTGTCCAGGCCCCGTGCCTGAGCTCACGTGTAGCTGCTCTTGTTCTGACAAACGTTTTCTACTAAATTCTTCATGTGTCGGCGGAGTGACTCGTACCCAAAGAAGCTCTTTCTGAACCAGTTCAGTATTAAGCTTTATTTGTTGTTTTTCCTCTCCAGTAAATAAGAGCTGCTTTGGGACGAAAATGACTTATTTATCTCTAAAGCCCGACAGACTCAGCGCCCTGCCCATAATAATTGCTAGCATTCACTAATTCACCAAGTATTTATTGGTATTTCTTATTAAGTAAGCTTTAGAAGTTTACTGAAGTATCTAAATTGTGTATTGCAAATCTGTTAACAGTATTTTTCTTTTTCTTTTCCACACACTCTCAACAGTATTTCTTTATTGTCCTTTTAGTATCTATAAAATCTCATTACCGAAATTGGTAATTTGTGTCATCTTCCTTTTTTTCTGATCAATCAGGTGAGAGGTTTAGCAGCTTTACGGATCTCAAATCTCAAAGCCCGCTTTTGCTGTCTTAGATTTTCTCTATTTTTCTGTTTCATTGATTTCTGCTCATATGTTTATTATTTACTTTATTCTGATTTTAATTTTTAAAGTTTTTATGTTTTTCTAGTTTCTTAGCTCAAAAACTGACGTCATTAATTTGTGATGTCTTTTTTGTACTTCAGGCATTTATGGTAGCATAAATCTCTCTAAACAGCTTTAGCCCCATCCCACATATTTTGATGTATTCTGTTTTCATTTTTCTTCATTTTGAAATACTTTATAATTTCCTTACTGACTTCTTTTTTGACCGGTGGGTTCTTTTTGTTAGTCCGCAAATATAGAGGGATTTTCTGATTATCTTTCTGTTACTGATTTCTAATTTCATCCCATTGTGATCAGGGATCATAGTTTGTATAATTTGAATCATTTTAAATGTATTGATACTTGTTCTGTGATCCATGGTGTGCTCTATCTTGGCAAATACTCAGTGTGCATTCGAAATGAGCATGTATTCTGCAGTTGCTGGATGGCGTGTTCTACAAATGTCAATCATGTCAAGTTAGTTGGTAGTGTTCAAATCTTACTGATTTTCTATCTACTTATTCTATTAATAAGAGAGTATTGAAATCTCTTATTATAATTATGAATTTTTCTTTCTCCTTGTAGTTCTATCAGTTTTTGCTTCATGTATTTTGAAGCTCTGCTATTAGTTGCATAAACATTTATAATCGTTCTGTTATTTAGATGAATTTATCCTTTGTGCAAGTTTTGTCTTTATGAAATGACCCTCTTTATAAATGATCATTTTCTTTTCTGGTAATATTCTTTGCTCTGAAGTTTAATTTGATAGTAATATAGCCACTTCAGCTTTCTTTTATATAG